ACGCGCAGTTTGGGAAATGGTAACTGCAAGAGGGATTTCCCGTACCGTTTTCAAAAAAACGAATTTCGGAAAAAAAATATCCCGGATTTCCGAATAACGGGAAATTGCAAAAGGAAACCGAAATTTTCGAAAAAAAGATATTCCGGATTTCCAACTACGACATTTCGAATTTTCATAAGAAAAACGAAAACGGAAATTTCAGGTGTTGCGCTATTGCGATCTTCCACAACAGAAATAGCGGGAAAACAAAATCCAAGAAAAGAAAAAAAAATCGATTTTCGGCAGTCAGGTCAAAATCCGAAAATCGTGATTTTGGGTGCTAATTAGTGCGCTCTAATCAATCAATCAATCAAGACTGATCAACTAATTAGTCCCCGCACACGTGTCAGATCAGGTTGTCCTGATTCACGTGCGGTGTTCCGATACCAACTGCTACATGCCCAGTTGGGCGATGTACATACATAACCAAGGATCTGCAATGTGATGAAAAGGCCTGAATGGACAATGCAGTGCTAGTGGAATCTCAACAAGCATGTACATCCTGATACATACAAAAATGGTGCTTTGTAGCACAGTGGAAGACTTAGATATAAGTCCTGACCTGACAGGGACTGACCTCTATCACGTAGTGCAAGACAGCGTAGCAGAATGCTAGAATACCAATGACTAGCCCAATCAGTGTCGCAACGCAGACCAAACATACGTCATCCTTATCACAAGGTGTGAAGGGGCCTGGCGCTACACACAGGAAGAATGCGCCAGGTCCAGATCATGCACAGACGAAGAGGAGGGAATCAGACGAAGAAGAAGGGGGGGAGATGGGAATGTCGTCAACACCAAGTCTTCGTTACAAGTCCCAAATAATCCCTCGTCAAAATGTTTGGAGCCCAATGTCGAGTCTGGATCCAAATGTCACCAATCCCGCTCTCTCGTAGTCTGCTGATGCAGTGAAGTCAGGTAGTGAGAGGGTGAGAGGGAGATGGTGGACTGAGAAGAGGAAGAAGAAGAACTCTCTCTCTCTCTCCCATGTGCCAGGTACTAACCTGTGAAGATGGTGCTGTGCTGCAGGTACCTCGAAGACGAAGCTGGAGCTATGGCGCTGCAGGTAAGTCTC